TGATACTTTGGCGGTAGAACTGTTTTTTATGAACTCCTATGTATTAAGTTGTGTACAGGTATCCATGAATTGCAGTAGCATCTCATCATCATCTCACACAATAAAATAAAATATTCTTCGGTCAGAATGAGTGGACTTTCCACATGTTTTTTTTAAAGTGAAACTTCTTTAGAATCGTGATTTGAAACTCGATGAAACTAAAGAATGACACTAAAAGGAGACAAACATTTACATCTATGTGATTTAGTCTGAGAATGAGATACAATATTATATTAAATTAATCGTGTTTAAGGCCATCTAGCGTCAATGGGTGCGTTTGGCAGAAAAAAGCGTAGCAAGCGCTTATGAGCGCTAAAATAGTTTTCGGCCAGGACACGATTGCTACTTCCATGTAGCGATGACACAATCCGCCATTTCAAAAAAATGCTTATTTAATTTGTTTGTTTTGAAGTAGAGTTTATAAGTTGTTTTGTGCAGATATTAGTTTTAAGTAGCATATAATGACATGCAATAAACATATACATGCTATTAAAAACTTCATGATTGGTAAGTTTTTAATATGAATACTTTACAAACGTATATTTAAATTAGGTTAGATTCCCCGGTTAAAACTAACATCGTGTGTCCTGGAGGAAAATAGCTACTTACGATTTGACAGCGCTTACCGCTTACGATCTCCATTTTGCTTACAAGCGCTTGCTAGCGCTTTTTTCTGCCAAACGCACCCATTCTTACGTACCACCTTAAAAGTCTATTCATTTTTATTCGATAAAATGACTTTACCTATAGAATGGAGAGATGGCGCTAATACAAAGCACTTTTACTCGAAAGAAAATATTCCTTTGATTTATTACACTAAAATTTATACGTCTAAAAATAAGGATTGTAAAATTTATTTGCTATAAAATTAAACTTTATCTCATATTTTAGGCAGCACTTGTGGTTGAAAATTATCATTTTAATGTTAAATATACCATTTGTCGTGAAATATTTTTATTTTATATTTCACATTTCATTTCATTTGAAGGTATCAACTTCCACCGCGTGTGAATTGCACATTGTTTATATTAAATTGGACAAAGGAACTTAAAGCCTACCTAATGATATATGGCTGTTGTGGACTATAGACATCTACATCTATCCTCTATTATGAATCAAGATGCGGATGTGTTGTCAAACCTGAGGACTAAGATGGAATACCTCGTTTCTAGTATTACCTAGTATTATCTACGGTTATCAACACTCACCATATGAAACACAACAGCATTAGGTTGCTGTTATATTGTATTGAGTCTCGCGAGATGTGCCAATGAGAAAAAGATATAGGTGTAGTAGTAATACTCTAAAAATGTAAAAACAAAAATAATGAAACAAATAAATAAAATATGAATGTAACAACATTTTTAGAGTAAGCCATTTTTAAAATATCAGTAATGGGAAGCAGTGTCAAATGTGCGAGAGGTTTGGAAATCCGAACGCCTATCCAACTGTTAAGCCTGGCAAATTCTTCCTATAAATGATGGCCCAGTTCAGCTGCGGATTCCTAATACTCACTGGTTGATTATGGTAGCAATAATACGAATTAGTTTTATTGCTACCATAATCAACCAGTCTTTTGTCTTTGTATCATATCTGACGACTGTTGTTTTTGTAAATTTCAGTTACTTTTATATACAAGTATGATTGATATTATCTGTTGCATATAAGTATCTTTCAAAATATCGCACTTGACATGCCACATATGAGCATAGCTTTATTATCTAGAGCACTAACTTTAATTGCTCCAACCGAGCCTAGTGGAGCAGGAGCATATTTCTCCAAGCAAGTACTTTAACTCTTCCAGACCAACGATTAGTAAGCAAGTACTTTATTTTAATTCTCACATCTCACCGTGTCGTGGTAGTGTAAGAATATCCCTATCTCGTCCCGTGGGTGTCGTACGAGGCGACAGAAGGAACTGAAACAGATGGGCAGCAGCATCTTCCTGATAACAACTCAAAATTATAAAAACTGCGGTCGTCAAGACGTCTGCTAAGCGTGGCGACTATAAAAAATACCCCAAAAAACCTATGGCAGAGGTCTACGAGTATGGTCAGCAATGGAATTTTATAGGCTGTAATGGATGGATTATAGAACGAAAAGCTCTGTCCAACTTTGTTCGCTAACACCATTATGATGATGCTTGGTGAAAAGTTCTGTTGAGACCTGGTCTACAATATATCAATTTTCCAGCCTTTTATAACTAACAGTTATCCACTGCTGAACGTAGGTTTCCTCCATAGATTGCCTCATGGGCGGGATTTTACCATAGTAGAAACCCTTGCCAGAAAGGCTTTGCAACCATAGTTTAATTTATTTTGAACTATTATTAGGAACCATCTGCTGTCTATCTACTGTTTTAGTTTCCCTCTGCCGTCTCTGACGATACCCACGAGCCACATTGTCTCATGGAGTATTGAATATTCTTATACTGCCAATACACGGTTAGGTTAGTTAGCATAATAGACCCGGTTTTGTTTTAAGCTAAATGATGAAAGACGAAAACCAGGAAAAATATGCGCCCTTCATTACATTTTTGGAGAGTCCTATTGAGAAAGGTGACATGATCCTGACAGCCATACGATACATAACGGATATTTTACAATAAATTGACTTTTTTTGGGTTCTCGTACCTCAAAATGAAAATAAAAAGTTTTGCAATTACAAATGGATGTGATTTTGACCAATGTATAGAACTGATTTCTGATGCAATGTAAGTTTTTCTTTAAATCGATTTACCTTTTCGTTAGCCGTGGTAGTTTAGGAGCTAAACGCTCGCTGTAAATTTCACAGTACGCGAGCAACCCGGGTTCGATCCCCACCGGCACCAATTGAATAGTTAATTTAACACTTCCTTGCCCTAAAACACCCTCAGAAATGTGAGGAGACTTGCGCCCAGCAGTGGGACGTATATCACAATGTTAGGTGTTTACTTTACGTATTATTTATGAATTTCAGTAAATAAATTGTTTTGATGAAAGTAGATACCTTCTTACTCAGGGTGTGAGTCTTAAGAATAGGGTGACAAACGGGTACATTGTCTGCCTGATAGTAAATGGATTTGTGGCCCAAATATCTTAGATAACGAAGCAAAATACACCTGCATTTGTCACCCTAAGTACGAAGATAAAGATCTCCGGTTTTCATCCCCCAGAGAGGGGGGTCTACGAGGCTATCAACCTCAGCTCCTTTGAACCGTGTGATACGGTTGACTTTAACCCTGGTAGTATAGTTTATACCTAGGTGGATTGAAAAGTACTCGGCCTAACACAGATCCATTCAATTCTAAAAATCAAATCTACCCACATTATTTAGTTCAGTTCAGACTAGTTCATTGTGTGAAGTTCGAAACGTGTGCGATAATTAGTTGTGATTTTATAAATTTATTAACAAAGTAATTGGACATAATTTCCGCGAATGGAGCAAATCGAGCAGCGTGCCGTCATTAAGTACCTCCATAAGAAGGGGCTATCATCAAAAGCCATCCATGATGACATGGTCAGTACATTAGGCGATTGTGCTCTGTCATATTCATCCGTCAAAAAATGGATAGCAGAATTTAAGCGTGGTAGAGAGAGTGTGAAAGATGAACCCCGCCCTGGAAGGCCTTCGACGTCAACTACTGACGAAAATATTAAAAAAGTACTTGATTTAATAATGGGAGACCGCAGATTAAAAATTAGAGAGATAGCCGAGATTATAGGCATCTCTTATGAACGAACTCAAAACATCATTGTCAACGAGTTGGGTTTCCACAAGGTGTCTGCGAGGTGGGTTCCGCGACTGCTTTCAGTTGAACAAAAAAGGACGCGATTGACTATTTCACGCGACTGTTTGGAGTTATTTGAAGCCGATGCAGATGATTTTTTGAATCGTTTTGTTACTATGGACGAAACATGGGTTCATTACTGTACATCGGAAACAAAACAACAATCAAAACAGTGGAGAAGACCTGGTTCACCACCCCCTAAAAAAGGCTAAGTCGATTTTGTCGGCAAATAAGGTGATGGCTTCAGTATTCTGGGACTCGAAAGGTGTGATTATGATTGATTATCTTGAAAGGTCAGACTATAAACTCTGATTACTACTGCACCTTACTACGTCGTTTACGAGAGGAAATAAAAGAAAAACGTCGAGGAATGCTCAGAAGAAAAGTCCTGTTTCATCAAGATAACGCCCGTGTTCACACGTCAGTACAGTCAATGGCTGAAATTCACAGCTGTGGCTTTGAACTGTTACCGCATCCGCCGTATTCACCTGATCTGGCACCATCAGACTTCTTTCTGTTCCCTAACCTAAAAAAGCACTTGGGAGCTCAAAGATTTTCGACAAACGACGAGGTCAAAGCAGCTGTAGACGCATATTTTGACTCTAAGGAAGAATCATTTTTTTTTTCAACGGTCTAAATGCTTGGAAGGGGAGGTGGCAAAAGTGTATTGAACTTGATGGTGATTATGTAGAAAAATAAAAATATAACTGATTTAGTATGTGTTTATTTTCTTGGTTAGGCCGAGTACTTTTCAATCCACTCGTACGATATGAGGCTATGCGATGAATTTACATTTTTCTAATGCTGTTGAACGAATCCAGAAGAGTAGTCTTACAAACTCTAGGTCAGTGGGCTATTTACATTCTAATGACATACCAGTGAGTGTAGCAACAGCCAAAAGTTCTTTTTCTGCCATGAAAATGCTGCGTATGTCAATTTCACAAGATCAATTAATTAGGAATTGCGATTTATTATTATATTTGCGCTTCAATTTTATTATATAGTGTGCTAGATATTGAAAGAATATCGTTACTGATAGGTATGCTAAGGGCAAAAGAAAACCGGTATTTTATTGAGAATATAACAAAATAATAAAAATAAAAATTCATTTTATATTAAGATGCCCTTTTCTTGTAAAATATGTTGAATCTGTTTATTCCTTGTCGTCCGAAAAAATAGAGTTGAGGCTCCATCAACCAGGGGTCGCAAACTGTGTGTGCAGAGAAGGTCAATTCTAGTTCAGTTAGTACAATAAGAAAATAGTTATGTAGGTATTTTATACATAATATGTCATAATTTGAAAAGAATTATTGAATTGCAGTAACTTCATACTATACTTATATAAATTACATAAAAAAATGTCAAGGCAAAATACTCAAAAATTTGTATAATATTGACAAAGGAAACCAATTAATATATAACAGTGTATTTTGCTAATAAAATCGATTACGGTAACGTTAAAGTGCTTTGCAATTCAATGAGGTATTGAGTTACTCTTTCATAGATCTATTACCTTTTCGCTGTGTGAATAGCAAATTTTAAATTATATATAATTTATTTTTGACGATGGTCTTCATCGCCAGCCTGAGTATTAATATATGTTTATAATAACAGTAACATTTTTTTATAGAATAAAGTTGAAAAACGAACACACAGTCTGATGTATGTGGGTACTGTGACCCGTAGACATCCACATCTATCCTCAATTAAGAATCAAAATGCAGATGCGTTGTCACCGCTGAGGACTTTCCTTCCTCATTTCTAGTAAAAATGTTCTTCAGTTGTCCACACTCACCATACGAAAATACAGCATTAAGCTGCTATTTTATTTATTTTATTTTTTCATTTATTTCGCTAAAACATGGGTACAGACGAATGGATACAGAGTCAATATTTGTTTCCACATGTTTTGCCTTTTGTGGCATGCGTAAAAATTGTTTAAAATAAATATGTTAAAAAACAAATTAAAATTAAAAAAAAATAAAATTAGAAATAATCACTTTTATAAATTTTCTTTTTCTTTCATAAACAATTGATATTTATGTTTTTAGGAAAACATAACAAAAATAGAAAAATTAATTTTTGTTCATTTGAGAAGTATCACGCAAAGTCCGGGATCTATCTATAGTAATTTACTTATTTAAGCAAAATCAATAAAAATAAAATCAAAATTTATGGTTAAAGAATTCTTTGATATTATAAAAGGCAGTATTTATTAGCCACTGCTTTAAACTTTTTTTCATTCGCCTTAATGGCTGTTCACGAATATTTTTAGGAACTTTATTATAAAATTTGATACACATTATGAGGCAATTCCTCTGGTATAATGCAGTTTTACAAGATGGCATGAGTAGACGTGTCGGATCTCTTTTTGCTAGGGAGTTATTATTTTCCTGCACGGTAACGAATTGATTAGAATTATTTTTAATGAAAACACAGATTTCTAATATATATAAACCAGTTAAAGTGAGAATTCTTTTTTCCTTGAACAGGGGTCTACAGCTTTCAATAGGGCCTACATTACACAGTGCACGAATACATTTCTTCTGACTTAGGAAGGCTTTGTTTGCGTTAGTTGAGTTGCCCCACAAGAGTAGTCCATATCTTAAGACGGATTCAACGTACCCGTAGTAAGCAATACGTGCTGCTTGTGGACCTGCTATATTTTGAAGTTTACGCAGTGCATAAACAAATTGATTAACCTTTTTGCATACTTTTTGTACGTGTAATTTCCAATTTACATACCGGTCAATAGTAACACCTAGGAATTGTGTATCTACTACCTCTACTAATTTTTCGTCCTTATATCTTAAATCCAATTTTTGTGGTTTTGATTTATAATTTCCAAATTGAATATATTTAGTTTTGTTAGTGTTGACTCTTAAATTATTATCTTCTAGCCATGATATAACAGACTCTACAGTAAAATTTATTTCTTGTTCATATATCTGTGACTTATTAGTGTGGGGTATAACAATTGATATGTCATCAGCAAATAGTATTGACTGATGATTTGTTATACTCGGTAAGTCGTTTATGTATAAAATGAACAATAAAGGGCCTAACACACTCCCTTGAGGTACCCCATAGTCATTTTGTAGATAAGGAGATCTGTAATATGTTAACTCTAGTTTATTATTAATACGTGATACTTCAACACATTGTTTCCGATTTTTCAAATAACTTTCGATCCATTCCAAAGCCGGTCCTCTGATTCCTAGTTTTTCACATTTGTACAACAACTTACTGTGTTCTACACAGTCAAAGGCTTTAGACATATCAAAAAAGATGCCTACTGTTGGTACTCTATCATTAATAAATTCAGTTATTCGACGTATCAGTGAAAAGGTAGCAAGTGTAGTAGATTTATGTTTTTGAAAGCCATTTTGTTCGTTTCTGAGTATATTATATTTTGCTACAAAACTAATAATTCGACTATGCATGACTTTTTCAAATATTTTGGATAGAATGGGTATCAACGTAATCGGCCTATAGTTATGAATCTCATGACGGTCATCGTTTTTAAATAAGGGTTTGACTATAGATGTTTTTAATTTATCTGGAAATCTTCCATGTATGAAAGAAAGGTTTATTAAATACGTCAGAATTGGTGCAAATTCCTTCACACATGATTTCAGTATATGTGTAGTAATAGAATCATAACCAACAGATTTAGTATTATTAAGAGAATTTATTATAATTATGATTTCATTTAATGAGCAAGGTTTTAAGAAGATCGATGATTGAACATTTTCATACATATTCCTTTTAGTTTTATTATTTAAAGAAAAACGATCGTGAAGAGCTGTACTAATAAAATACTCATTATTTGGTATTCTGTTAGAATTTGGTTTTTCTCCGCGTGAGTTTTTTAAAAAAGAATACATAGGGCAGACTAATTGTCTTTAAGCATTTTCTACCAGCTAAATAAACATCGTAAAAATTTTACGTAATCACTTTAGCTCGCAGTTGTATCGCTTCGAAGAATTCGCTTGTCGCGGTCCTTATATAGGGCCTTTTCCACTGAAACTAGATCTCTCCTAGTTCTGCCATTCTGTTACGACAGTGGAACGAGCAAAAATGTTCTCGGATCTTCAGTAGAGTTTGCTTAACTTCCAGATAGCCTCTTGAACGACCATTGTGGTATAGCTGTAGAACATCTGGTACTTTAGCTTTGGGGACAACCATTTGCAAATGACACCTTTCTCCACGACCATTTTCCCATTTACCTCACAGAACTCCTTCCTGAATCAGCAAGCTGTCCCATTGGGCCCAATAGCTCCTCGGGGTTGAACTCATCGCTGAGACATCGCTCCACTCGGGCTTGGGAGCACTGGCCTTCATCCATTCCAGAATCGGGTTGATGTCCAAATCTTCCTGCTGTGTACGTTGTAGGCTGTCCTTCCACTCGTTGTCATCCTGTCCTGTGGTCTGACCCGAGCATCCTCACAGATACCACTTCCTTACCCTCTTGCCTAGTGCAATGCTTGCAATCATCAGGACAAGGTCTTCTTGACAATGCAACTGCATATGAGAGATTTCCCACTGCGATGTTCGATCACAAATTCGTATTCTTGCAGTTATTCGATCCATCTCGCAACCTGTCCTTCTGGATTTTTGAACTGCAATAGCCTTTTCAGTGTAGCATGGTCAGTTCGTCAGTGAACTTTCCGCCCCAGAAGATATTTGCTAAAATGCTGCAACGACATTACCACAGAAAGCAATTCCCGTCTTGTGACACAATATTTCCTTTCCGGCTTTGACACGACTTGCTGAAGTACGCTATCACAAACTCTTGATCACCATTCCGTTGAGACAATACACCACCAAGTCCTATATCACTTGTATCTGTGTCAACTATAAATTCCTTGCCCACACCAGGGTACCCCAAAATTGGTGTTTTGCACAGACGGTCCTTGAGCTCCTGGAATGCGATACCGCAACTTATATCCCAGCAGAAGTGTCGCTTCTCTTCACTTGGCTTATGCGGAGGTTTGGCTATATCTGCAAAGTTCTTCAATAATCACCGACCCTTCCTATCGAGAATGCAGTTTTCCCCTTGTCCTTAGGGTCAATTTCGAATTACCAGTAGCAACTTTTCAGGTACAGCGTCATAACATCGTAACATCGTTCAGACGGCGATAAGCAACACAAAACCGCATGCTGCCGTCATTTTTCTTTACCAGCACAACGGGTGAACACCATGGACTAAATGAAAGTTCAATAACACCATCCTCCACCATTCTCTTATTGATGGTTTCCACTCCCTTTTGACGTGCTACCAGCAATCTTCTTGGCCGCTGACGGATTAGGCAATTCTTCTCCTGTGTTTATTTTGTGTTGAACTAAGCCAGTCTTTCCTATGTCAGCGTCATTTGACGAGAGAACATCGGCGTACTTTAGTAACAACTTCTTTGCCTTAACCAATTTATTCGGGGAGAGAACGCTACGACAGTCTTCTAAAAGTGTGGTCACTCTTATTTGAGCATCCTTGCTGAGGTTCCCTTTCGATAGATATTGGCACCGACGCAACCAATCCACTTCCTCCCAAGTTCCAACCAGTGTGCCTTTTTCTATAATCTGCTCCTGGTCACAAAGGTTCAGCACACGTACTCCTGAGATGTCAGTGGTTCTGACAATGTTCGAGCTACTTTCCAAGGAAGGTGATTGTCTACCCTTTCCATGAGTACACAACGGTGAGCTTGCCCAGGATTCCGAGGAAGACTAAGCGGCATAATCGTTTCCGATCTCGGCGGAAGAACAATATTCTTAAGGCTGTACACGTTCCCTCGTAACGCCCCTTCCATGAAAAGTTGCTTGTCAACATTTCAAATCACCTTGCTTAACGTCGATCTCACACCAATTCTTTCTTATAAAGTCTAAGTCCAGGATGCAGTCATCCATTATATCAGCCACGATGACATTATGCAGGTAAATAATGTTGCCTAGCTTCAACTTCATCTCCTTTTCTCCACGGAAGGGTATACACTGACCGGTTGCTGTTACCAAATTAATGCGTTCTTGGCTGTATGCGGAGTCCCCAAGGAACTGGCTAATAAGTTGGGAACTGACAACCGCGCGATAGGCTCTAGTGTTTATGATCAGTTTACACGGCATTCCGTTGACCTCGCCCTTGATGATTAGGCTGTTTCCATCATGGGTTTGTGAGATCGAGATCCTTGGGGCTCTTTTAACATCGGATAGCACCAG